TTGTAAATGTAGATTTAGTGAGTTTGAGTTGATGTGTTGTTACAAAACTTGGGTGTGGGATAAATTAGAAGAAGAGTGAGTTTTGGGCATAAAAGTGAAAGTTTTAACAAGTAAGATTTTAAGATCCTAGTTGTGGGGAAAGTCTTTTAGGAACTGTCTTGGGGCCATTTAGGGCTTAGTTAGTCTCTTGTACAAAAATATGGTAGATCATCCAGGTAAGAGATCGTTTGATAATGGGTCGTCTAGTAAGGGGTCGTTTGGTAAGGGATTGTCTGGTAAGGGATTGTCTAGCAAGGAGCCGTCTGGTAAGGGGTCGTTTGGGCAGAGGTCATCTGGGCAAAGATCGTCTGGGTAAGAGTAGTTTGGTGAGGAGTTGTCTGGCAAACAACTAAGTTATGGGGAATCTCGAATTTGGGGTTCTGGACATCCGTTTTGAACATTCTTTAAGTCGTTTTGGGGGGTTTTTGACCCTTCCAGAGTTGTTGGTGAGGGTTTCAAGGTTGTTTTCCCTTGTCTAGTGTGGATATCAAGCTACTATGATGAAAATTGTGTTATTATATGATTATTATTTCCAGATTTGTGATAAGTGAATTTTATCCTTGAAATACTTTGAGTATGTAATATGTTATATGATGATGATGATTAGTATGTAGTGATTTAAGTGACTGGTATTGAGGGACGTAAGTCTGTGATCCTCGTGGAGAGGTTTCATGGTGGTGCCCGATAGTTTTGTTAGTACAAATGACCAAAGTTAAGTTTGAGGTTCATCCTACATTCTAATGATCATTCACGCTCAATTAGAGAGTGATAAATCATGTGGTGAGAATAACAGGAGGTCCTAGTCTATGGTCACAGGTTAGGGCCATAGGTATTGACGGATTAACCTGGTTTTGAAATCCAGTTTAGGAAATCACCTGGTTTTGAAATTCGATTTAGGAAATTATCCGATTTCAAAATTCGATTTATGAAATTATTGAATTTTGAAATCCAGTTTACGAACTCATCGGATTTTGAAATTTAGTTTAGAAACTCCCTGGATTTCGAGATTCAGTATTTATTTCTTCCAAATTTAGAAACACAATATTTATTTCTCTCATATTTTAAAATTTAGTGAACACTCCTACTAGATTTAGAAATTCGATTAAAACTAATATAATATATTTTCGTGTTTTAACTCATAAATGGTTTGTGATATTATAATTGATATAATACTATTAATGATATTATAACTTAGTATAATAATATTAAGGATATAATCTTCCATCGTTAATTATTGGTTTAAACCCTCGGATGGTCCTTATATTTGTATGAGAATCTCAGTTGTGTCCTCGTATTTGAAATTGTCTCAATTGGGTCATAATATTTGTAAAATTGAGCCAATTTTACTCTATCCGTTAAGTTATCCCAAACGGTGTTAACTTGAGCTGACGTGGTGCACACTTTAAATGCTCATGAAGCAGTGTTATATTACGTGGAATTTTTTTTAGGTGAACAGCTTATGATATGGCACAAAATGTAATTAAAAATGTTAGGGATTCAGAGTCTTCATCATTGGGATTTAGAGTCTTCATCATCCTCTGTCGTCTTCATCTTTCTTTTTGAGCCTTAGTTATTCTCTATCACTTTTTCTTCTCGTTTTGGGTGGGGAGGCATAATTTCGATGTCTGCTCAGGTTAATCCTCAAGGTTCTTTGTCACACCAGGGTGAGTTTTCTCTCATTCTCCATTCTAGAGGAGTCGGAGGGGGCAGAGGGGTCGCAGGGGGCAGGTTTAATTGGATCTTAAACAATGGTACTGTAAGAAAAATCAATTTTTATCAATTGAGGTAGTTTGCTTGATTTTCCTTCAACCCTGCGAGTTGTGCAGAGCAAAGACTTCTGCTGGGGCCTTTCACTTTGTTCTTCTCTTTTTGGGAGCAATGATTTAAGTGGGTCTTCCTTGTCAGAACCTGGATGTCAAACACAAAAGAAAAAAAAAGGATTTCTAGTTTTTTTGAGTCAGAAGAGCCTATGCTTTTTGGGTTTAATTTATATCTATTTGATGGGGTTATCTGATGGGGTTATCGAAAATTAGAGTTGTTGGGAGGGGATGCAGTAAAAAGGAGCTGAAGACCTTTCTATAGCAGTAATGGATGCTTGGCCAGAAGAACTACATCCTTCACCACTTAAATTAGAGATTAGGTCACAGCTGACCCGTGGCTTACCAATGTGAACAAAAATAGGTAATATATGCAGTCTAACTAATAAATTTGACTTGAATCCACCATCTTTAGATATATCTAGATTCAATTCCCTGATCTCAACTATAGACTTTGGAGTCTGCAATGTTCAATAGAGATTCTCGGTGAACAAAAAAGTTATAATAAGATTCAAATGGAAACAATAATAGAATCAAGTTTAAATTTAAAAGTAGCCGGTGTGAAACCTATTTTATTTATACAACTTTATGGAGATGAACACCTTCAGAACCAGATCAGTCACATAAATTGATAAATATCTTGCAATATTGCCCAATATCATCCACTTCCCCCTGCTTGAAACACGAGATTTCCTAGTTTTCTTCTTCCTTGGAGTTTTAGCTGGAGGCCTCAAAACAACTTCTAGGTCACATATTAACTTTATAGCTTGGGATCCTGAGACATGAAACCCACACCAAGTTTAACCAGGGACTGGCGTAAGCTGAGTTTAATTTCACTAATAGAAACAAATTCAACAACACCCTGTACTTCTCGGGATTCATCACTTCACTTGCACCATTACAATGAAGATTCATATTAGATTATTATGATGGAGTCAGCAAACACGTGGATGGTGGTGATTGATTTTCTCAGTCTCCTTTCTCAACCTCTACAGCTCCAAAAACTCCAAGGCGTAAATGAACGGGGTCGTGGGGTTGCAGGTGACGCCCTGGTAACACAATGAAAAATAAAACATTAGAGAAATTTGAAAGCTTTGAGAAAAATAAAAAGGGAAAAATGAATTGAATCGGAAAATTGAAGAAAAATAAGAAAGAGATTGATAAGATATGGAAATTAAGAAATGGAAAAGAGGGATTCTTAAATGGAAAAGGGAAAAGATGAATCCAAATTTGGAGACTAACTGCTCCATCACTTTCAGCTATATGGGTTCTACTTTTGTTAGACCCTTCACCACCTTCCTCGTTTAGCTTCTTGGTGTTGGGTGTTGTAGTATGGAATGGATTGGGGCTGGTTTGATTTTTCTATTTTGCAGGTTTCGGTGGAGGTGCTACGCGGTGGCTACCAAGGTTCTAATGGCTGGGTCATGTTCCTGTGTTCGTCTTCTCTTGTGTGCCACGTCAACCACTGTTAATTTAAATAAAAAATTCCATGTAATATAACAGATTTACATCAGCAAAAAAAATGTGTACCACGTTAGCTCAAGTTAACGCCGTCTAGGACAACTTGATGGATAAGGTAAAATTGACTCAATTTTACAATATTATGACCCAATTGAGACAGTTTCAAATATGAAGATCCAACTGAGATTTCTATACAAATATGAGAACCATTGGAGGGTTTAAACCTTAATTATTATAGTAATACTATATCAATTTTTACTATTTTTATTTATTAGGCTTAATACCCTATTTTGTCCCCAGTTTCACTCGAAAATGTCAAATTAGTCCATCCTTTAAAAAATGCGTCAATTACGTCCTCACTTAATAAAATTTGCATCAATGAAATCCCTTCCGTTAAATCCGTACAAACGGCGTTAATTATTTTTCTCTCTTATTAAGTAACGCCGTTTGTACGGATTTAACGGAAGGGACTTCATTGATGCAAATTTTATTAAGTGAGGACGTAATTGACGCATTTTTTAAAGGATGGACTAATTTGACATTTTCGAGTGGAACTGGAACAAAATAAGGTATTAAGCCTATTTATTATAACCAAATTCACTCGCAAAAACAAATTGTATTCTTTAAATAATTAATCTAAATTATGATATTCCTTCGTAATCATTAATAATAATTGATCAACATAATAATTTTTTTTGCATGGTATTGTGACACCATAATATTTCCAACAACTCAATACATGAGAGTTTAAGAGGTTACATCTTTCCCAACAATAAATAAGGTTTAGTTCTCCATTGTCATGGAAGAACTAGATGAACAATGGAATGAAAGAATAGAAGAGATAGAAAAACCCTAGAAAGAGAAGAGGAGACTCCTGCATCCCCAAATCTGCCCCCAAGGGGGTGAAAAGTGTGTTTTTGTGCATCAAAAGATACAATCCTTAGGACGTGCAAGTCCTTAAATAGAACATAAAAATAACAGAAAACAGGTCCAAACCCATGTCGTCGGCGCTCAGCGGCACTTTTGGCGCTCAGCGGTAGCAGCGACACTCAAATGACGCATGTCGATCGGTCTTACACGGTTGACCGTTCGACATGACTTCTACCACTTCATTCAGCTTCTCCTCTCACAAACAGTTCAGTTTGCCTATGTTTATATACAGACGTTCGGTCCTCAGTTACACCGTTCAGAAGTAGTCTTTCATGCTCACACAGTTCGACCTAGTTCCACCACCTTCACACCGTTCGGTCTCTGTTATGAACCGTTCGGTCTTTGTCTTCTCCTCTATCTAACCGTTCGGTCAGTCTCAGTAACTGTTCGGTCTGGGTTCTTAACCGTTCGGTTTGGATTCTCCCGCATCCTACTATTTGGTCTGGTACTGTTTTTGTCTTTTCTGGGTCCCAACTCCTTGCTATTCAACTTCTTTCATCCAATTCATCTTAATTCCTGTCAAAACCCATCCAAGTCTCTTATGTCCAAAACTTAAACAAAAGCATGATTTCAAGCTAGTTTTTCAATCACAAAAGGTGTTTTAATATTAAAATTTAGTATAAAAATAACAGTTTTTCAACCGTTATCACATACAAGTTAAGCTTTTTAAAACAGAAGAAAATACAAGTTAAGCTTTTTAAAAGAGAAGAAAACCTAAATTGAAAGAATTTCATACTATGGTTTGCAGCAAAGATGGGGCTCTCAAGAAGTGTTTGGTTTTCTCTTCTTCCTCCTTTTAGCAAATTTCCTCCGTTTCTTCTAATGCATAATTCCCTATTGTGCTCTCACTCTCACTCTCAAACTTCCTTACTCGACGAAGCCGTCTCACAATTCAATCGCTTGCTTCGTAAGCGTACTGTTTCTCCCATCTTCGAATTTCGAAAGATTTTGGAATTGCTTGCCAAGATGAAGCAGTACCGTACTGCTATTTCTCTTATTAAGCAAATGGAGCTCAAAGGAATTCAGAATAACCTTGTTAATCTCAACCTCCTCATCAATTGTTTCTGTCACTTAGACCAATTGGCCTTCGCTTTCTCTATATTTGCCAAGATTCTCAAACGGGGTTATCATCCATGTGCCATAACCTTAAATACACTCATGAGAGGTCTCTGTGATAAGGGTGAGGTCAAGGAAGCTCTCAACCTTCATGATAAAGTAGTAGCATTAGGATTTCCGCTCAACCAAATTACTTATGGGACTCTGATAAATGGATTGTGCAAAATAGGAGAAACTGAAGCCGCGATCAAATTGCTCAGAAGGATTCAAGGTCGATCAACGATAATGTATACTATAATTATTGACTCTTTATTTAAAGAGAAACATCCAAAAGAAGCTTATGATTTGTATTCTAAGATGGTTATCAACATAATTCTCCCTGATCTTGTTACTTATAACACTCTAATTTATGGCTTTTGCTTAGTGGGAAAGGTAGAAGTAGCATTTGGTTTCCTAAATGAAATGCTATCGAATAGCATCAGGCCAAATGTTTATACCTATACTATATTGATTGATGCATTGTGTAAGGAAAGAAAGCTAGGAGAAGCCAAGAATGTGTTAGGTGTGATGGTGAAAGCTCATGTGAAACTTGATGTTGTTAGCTTTAGTGCTCTAATGGATGGGTACTACTTAGTTAATAAAGTGAAGAATGCGAAACAAGTATTGAGTGCAATGATCCACATGGGAGTGAGTCCTGATGTTAGGACCTACAATATCATGATAAATGGACTCAGAGATAATGAAAGGGTGGATGAGGCCATAAATCTTACAGGAAATGCACAACAGGAATATCGTTCCAAATACTGTGACTTACAATACTCTTATTGATGGCTTATGCAAAACTGGAAGAATATTTCATGCTTTGGATCTTTTTCGTGAGATGCATGGTAGAAATCAACAAGCAGACTTAATCACTTATAATTCCTTGATTGACAATTTATGCAAAAATCATCATCTAAACAAGGCAATTGAATTATTGCGAAAAATGAGAGAGAATGGAGCTCAGCCCGATATATACACTGCAAATATACTTATTGATGGATGTGTAGAGGGAGGAGACTTAAGAATGCATAAGAGATTTTTCAAGATCTATTAAATAAAGGTCACAATCCCGACCTCTGTAATTACAATGTTATGATCAATAGTCTTTGTAAAGAGGGTTTGGTTGATAAGGCATTGACCTTGTGGTCCAAAATGGAAGACAATGGTTGTTTATCTAATGTTATTACTTTTGCAATAATCATCTCTGCTCTCTTTAAGAAGGACGAGACTGAAAAGGTAGAGAAATTTTTGCTAGAAATGATCTCTAGAGAGTTGTTGAAATGAAGAAAGGTGACACCTTATTTGAATAACATTTATGTGTTTGTCATAGAATGTGCATGAATGGTTTGTAAATTTTATTTTAGATGAGTTGGTTTAGGTTGTAACCTCTGTTGTTGATGAGTTGGAATATATAAATTTTTCATCTACCTTAATCCTTTCCTGAGAATCCAAATCATTCTCCAACACAGTTTCCTTCAGCCAGTAGAAAGTGGTTTTCCCATGCATAAAAAATGTCAATCTGCCTCAATTGTCTCTCCAATTATGAGCAAACATTTAAATAATTTTAATGTTCATAACATAGGTTAGTTCTAAACTCTATGTTTAATGTTGCATACATGTTTGCTAGTTTTTTTTTCAAACTCTTTTTTAACTGTTATGTCTGAATTGTCAATTCATGGTCAATGGAGGAAACGATGCTTCCTAGGGATCGTTTACTAGTATTCTCTTCTTCTATAGATTGAATAAGATACATATACATACCATATATGTTCCTACTGTACAACGAGTGAGTGAGTAGAGATTTAAAAATTTTTAGATTTCCTGACTAAAGAAACCTAAAGGTAGTACTTCATCCCTGATTCCTAAAGGATCCAATAGATACGCACGTACAGATCTTCAAGTGTCTGGATCGTCCTTTCCGTCTGGCCGTTCGTCTAGGGATGATAAGCTGAACAAATCTTTAACTGGTTGTCCAACTCTCTCTGCAATGGTTGCCGAAATTGAGAGGTGAATTGAGGATCCCTGTCTGAATTGCTACTAAACGACATTCCAAGCAACCGAACCACTTCCCTGCTGTAGATATTTGTCATTGACTTCTCAAACCAATGATCATAAAGTAAGCACTCTTGGTCAACCTGTCCTTAAAAACTCAAATAACATTAAGACCTTTTGACCGAACGAGAAAGATGATTGACTAAGTTCCTGGTAATTATATCTCGTTTCCGTACGGTTTCTGATGCTCTACCTTCACCTTTTGATACGTTAAACAATAACACATAAATCGAGCGACGTTTGCTTTCATACCCGACCACCAAAAATGATTTTCTTGAGATCCTGATACATTTTAGTCATGCCTTGACTCATACTAAAATGATTATGATGTCCTTTCTCAAGAATCAATCTCTTAATTTTCCTATTATCAGGAACACAAATCCTTTGGCTGAATCTTCAAAATACTGATCGTTCTCAACGCAAAATCTTTCCTTTTCTCACTATAGATCGGTTCTTTGAAAATCTGCAACTCAACATTTGTCGACTGCTTATTTCAGGTCTTGTTGAATAGTTCGCTTCCTACCACCAAATTGATGCATCTGATATCGTTCGATTTTAACCTTATTAGTTTTCTTAAGCCCCTTAAAGTCTCAACTAAACCCAACTCATGGATCATCATTGCCGACACAAGTCCTAGAATTTGCACTTCATTCATCCAAAATTCACAATTGAACAATTTAGCATACAACACCTTTCCCCTCAACTTGTCAAACACTACTCTTAGACGTTCCTCATGCTCCACTCTGATTCATCCTTCTTCTTTGCCAGCAAAACAGGCGTACTCCATGATGAAATGCTCGATTCGAATAAAGTGCTTCTTCAGTTCCATCAACTCAACTTCACGCTGAGAAGATAACCTAGGCACCTCTTCAGTAGAACTCAACATCCCAAATGTTTCTTATTACCGTTCGGGCTACCCCTCTTGCTACCAAACGGTCTACACCAATAGATACCGAGCAGTCTACACACCATTCACTTGGAATAACTTCCAAGTTAGGCAATTCAAGAAAATAACATGCTCACTCAAATACTAATGAACATCTATCTCACATGATAGATGTCCAAACTAAACCAATTGCTGGTGTGGACACCACCAGATCAAGCAATCAAGTAATTGTTGGGAATAAAATTACCTGAACCGGTCGCTTCTACACTTTAACAATTATAACTCTTCCTTTAGCCTAAGGTTTGGCACCCCCTCTCGGTTGAAACCTTCCTACTGAACGATTTTGAGTAATTGTTCGCCTACCTAAAGGACAATCTTTTTCCAAATGACCTTCACTCCTGCACCGATAACATCTCTTGTTTTCTCTTGATTGTGGACAAACGGATCTCAAGTGAGGCCCTCCACAATTGTAACAACTTATTGGCCTTTGCTTCCCAGATTAACCACTAGAACCAGATAACTGTGCAGAAGAACTTCTAGATCTAGAAGGAAAAGAAGAAGGCCGAGAATAAGGAGTTCTTCTGGAACTAGAACTACCTCTAAATACGCTCGGTCCTTCAACCCTCTGTTGTTGATTATGCTGACTTTCTACTTCCTTCTTCGTCTTTTCCAATACTCTCGCTCTCTCAATCAGAACTGGAAACTCTTGAATGCACAAACCCTTGACCATAAACTTAATGTCACCCCTCAACCCGTTCTCAAACTTTCTGCATTGCCATTCTTCATTTGTTTCCAATGTATAAAACCTTAGAAGATGCTTAAATCGATCGACATACTCAGACACAGACATTCTCCCTTGAACCAATTCCAAAAACTCCACTTCCTTTGCAAACCGAACACTATTAGGAAAGTACTTGGCGTAAAACTTTTGCTTGAATACTTCTCAGGAGATAGGTGTACCATTTCCTTCCAGCAACATCCTCATGCTACTCCACCAATGACTGGCCTCCCCAGTCAATAAATGCTCAGAAAAAGCCAGCATGTTCTCGTCCGAACACTTCTTGGCATTGAAAATTCTCTCCACATCTCTGAACCACTAGTTGGCCTCATCTGGACTGCACTTCCCACTGAACTTAGCCGGATGATGTTGTAGGAAACTCTCTAAGCTCTATTCTTGCTTATGAATAGTAGAAGAAGTAGAAGGTCCAACTGTAGTTCTACCTTCGACATCAAATCCACGTACTGCCTCCGAGACGTCTCTGCTGAAATCCAAGCGGTCTATAAGTGTTGAAGAGCCATTGTATTCTGCTGGACTAGTGCGACGTTCTGTTGCTGTAGAGCCGTGATTACTGACTGCATCAATCTCATGGAGTTATATGCATCCGTATCCGTAGGTGAGGGAGGAGGAGACCTAGATGCCATCTTCCGATTATAGAGGGAGAAAGAACCATCAGTCTAACTCAAGGGAACAAGGACACTATCTAAACCAAACGCTGAGTACACAACACAAACATAGCAGAATGACCAAAAGGTCACCAACATAAGATCGAACGTTACAACTAGAAACATAACCGAAAGTATAGGACCGAACGATAACAATTAAAAGAACGTTCGGTCTCAAGAAGACGAGTATAAGACCGGATCGTCACTATGGAACCAAGAGGTCGAATATGATAAATAGAAGAGTCTAAATTACAATCAGAGTTGAGAAAAGAAAATCATCTCCGGTAAAAGTCATGAGTGTGCACCCTCATTACTTCTAAAAGAAGTTTTCCATCCTCAAAACTTCAAGTTAGATATAAAAAATTTTATCATCTAGACTTGGATAAAATAGTAGAACATACCATTTAGACTCAACTTTCCACAGGAAAGGCACGACAAACCCATAACCCGTAGGTTATCCTAAGAACAAACTACTCTGATACCATTAATGTAACATCCCAAAAATATAGCTGTAAACTATATTTAAGAGTACTTACATTTACAATAAAATAGAGTTACAGGAAATAAAGCTAACTTATAGTTATCCTAAAATAACCATAAATTTAAAACTTACAAAAATCCTACACTGATACAAACCATAAGAGCAGACTGATCGGTCATACAAGAGGTGTATCAACCGAACAGTCCTATCTTAAGGGGTTGAAGACTCCTCGCTTAGCACTTGCTCAAGAGAATCCTCTTCGCATTCTGCTCACACCCACAGGGTGATCATTGCAAGGACGCAGACGATCGAACGGACAACATGACAAGACAGGAAAATAAGGGTAAGTTAATGTAATTTAATTATAAACACATCTATACATTTCATGTAAGTTCAAACCATGCGAGACCAACTGCTACATTATGACAACACCGAACACAAGAAATCATATACAAACTGAACACCATAATTCATATATAGACCGAACACTATGTCTTGACCATCCGGATTTTATGAATATGTAGCTACAGTCGTCCTTGCACTTGTGGTAATGTAACAGCTGACACCAATCAAGCTACAACCCAAGGTTAATCCCATAATACCTACCTCAACACCCTAAGCTGGTAGGACCTCCTGCTATTCTCACAAATGAAATATCTCTCTCTATGTGAGAATGATACTCATAGAATTTCAGGATGAACGCCAACTTATCAATATTCAGATTCATACTTTATAATTCAATAACCATCCACGAGACATTCCATCTTGGAATTCTCTTCCACAGTATTTGAAAGCATAATTCTCATAAATTAACATAAAAAATCATTCATCAGTTATATTTTCACTCATAAGACAAAGAGAACCTGTGAACGTTGCGAAAACCTTCACACTATCCAAAAGATAGGACCAAACAGTCCATAATAGATACAACTGAAAAAATTGCCTAAGCTAATTACTGGCTGATCACTAGAGAAAAACCGACCACTAAAAGCTTAGCCCAACCTTAAGAGTTTAAAACAATTGCTTATAAACTTAAACCGAATGCGTATAGCTCAGACCGAGCGCTAGTACGAGACCAAGAACTACCAATAATGAGCGCTAGTACAAGACCGAGCAATATCGAGAACGAGCGCTAGTACAAGACCGAGCACTACCATGAACGAGCGCTAGAGACCGAGCGCTAAAACTAGCATTATTGCCAGTATAAGACCAACTGCTTAACAAGAAACCATCCACACACATAAGGCCGAACGGTCATGAACGGGTAAGACTAAAGAGACCAAACCCAATTACTGACCGAGTACTTGAACATGGCCGAACGGCCTTTCAGTATATGACTGAGCGGCCCGATCGCTATGACTACCGAATACTAGTGTATGACCGAATGCTATAATCCATCGAATACTACCAAAATAGAACGCTAATACATAGTACTACTAATAGCGAATGCTAACTATAGTACGACTAAGAACGAATGATAATACCAACCCGAAGACTGCCGAGGTTGAAAACGAGTACGTTTAAAATTGAACG